GCGATTACTCAATAACAAATTATCCGATCACTATCGAATTTTTTTACAGTTTTTTATAAAATTTTTGCAGGCCAAAGACGATCAAGTTTGACATCTTTTTAAACGGCGTCATATTGTCAATTTTTGATTTTTTATTTTTATCGTAGGTTATTATTCCATTATTATCTGTACAGACATTATTATCTAGTTTAACGAGATTTTTTTATTATGTTTTATCAACGGAGAAGGCAGCTGCAATCACTGCAACAGTGGAGAACCTTTTTTTGGCGCCGCCGGAGATTGCATGTCATTTCAAAAATATTTAATATTTTATTTAAAAATTTTACTGTGTATTCTCAAGTCATGTATAAATATGCCCTCAAAATTTTAAATAGATCGATTCACTAGTTTTTATTATTTTTTAATTCCCATAAATGACTTTTTTCCAGGTTGTCACACTATGTGTGCCCCTTAATTACAAGAAAACGGTTATGTAGATTTTCTCCTAATTACTAATCAGTATCATTATCAACTAATATCTTTCGAACAGTTTTTGATTTTTTACAATCGATTCGGTAGTATGAGCTTCAATGTGGACGAAAGATTTAACACTTTATTCCAAATTACAAAGTAACGGAAAAAATATAAATCGCAAAAAAATCGATACTACATGAACTATTTCAAATTGTTAACTCAGTGCATATATTTCGCGAACGAAAAATTGATGCATTTGAAATAAAATACGTTCATTCTAACAATAATTAGATTTTGTTTATATATTAGGTTGTCAAATATCTCCCTTTCGCTTTTTTGCTCTTGGTTTCAAAAAGGCGGAAGGGAGATATTTGACAACCTTTATATATATATTTCATTCAAACATATATAAACACCGTCGTCTAATCTAATAAGTTATTTTGTCTACAAGGAACAAATAATGAAAATTCTAGTTTTTATAATATTAATTCATAGCCATTTTTGTTGACTGATTATTTTTATTCTTCGAATGTTTAATTACGGTACGGGAAGTTCCAGCAATTTGCCTCAAGGCACGATGCCATGCGTCCCACTAGTTCTCAACTTTAATTAATTCTTATAACTAAACCACTTCTCATATCACCATGCAAAGTTTCACCAAAATCCTATAAAAATAAACCTGAGGTACTCCTTGTTAGTAGGTTTCTATTATATTTCACAAATTTTTATTATTTCTCAGGAAGGAAGAATTCAACAGATGCCCTGCAAAGTTTTTGTAGGAAAATGCACAGAAGATCTGACGGCCGATGATTTGCAAGAATATTTTTCGAGTTTTGGCGAAGTTACTGATGTTTTTATCCCTAAACCCTTCAGAGCTTTCAGTTTTGTTACGTTTTTAGACCCTGATGTGGCACAAAGTCTTTGTGGAGAGGATCATATTATAAAAGGTAATAATAAATATTATATATTATATATAAATATATATATATATATATATATAAATGTTTGTATATAAATTTGTATTTTATTTCAGGAGTATCAGTACACATATCAAATGCAGCGCCAAAATCGGATCAAAATAGGAATTTTAATAACGGTTAGTACACCAATTTTATATATATATATATATATATATATATATACTAGATGACCCGACAGACGTTGTCCTGTACCCACGTCTACATTTTTTTAATATCCTATACTAATGTTTACCGTTCAGTTAAAAATAATAATTATCGTTTTTTAAGGGGCACAACTAGTGTAACCGCCTAAAAAAGTGATTTTTGGGAATTTATATTAAAAAAAATACTTTATCAATCATTTCAAAATTTTGGGAATATGTTTACACATGTTTTAAGAATACATAGTAAAATTTTTGAAGAAAAAAATTAAATATTTTTTAAGTTATCGTCGATCTCCAACGGCGCGACAAAAAAGACTTTCACTGCTGCAGTGATTCCGGCCTTCTACGTGGATGAAATAAAAAAAAAAAAATTCTGGTTAAACTAGATAATATTGTCTGTAAAAAAAATACAGATACGATAAAAAAAAACAAAAATTGACAAAATGGCGGCGTTTTTTAAAAAACAGCCGAATTTTACCCAAAATTTTGGTCGTTTTTGGACTACCAAAATTCGATTTTTGATCCGATCAAAAAATCGATAGTTCATTTTACGGAGAACTATATATAGAAAATGTAAAAAAAATGATAGTGATCGGAACATTTGTTTTTGAGTAATCGCTGCAGCAAATTCGGAAATGCTGTTTCGAGAAAAGCGCGTTTGATCTGATCAAAAATCGAATTTTGGCAGTCCAAAAACGACCTAAATTTTGAGTGAAATTCGACATTTTTTAAAAAAACGCCGTCATTTTGTCAGTTTTTGTTTTTTTTTCTTTATCGTAGTTCATTTTACAGACAATATTATCTAGTTTAACGAGAATTTTTTTTTTAAATTTCATCCACGTAGAAGGCCGGAATCACTGCAGCAGTGAAGGACCATTTTTTTTGTCGCGCCGTTGGAGATCGACGATAACTTAAAAAATATTTAATTTTTTTCTTCAAAAATTTTACTATGTATTCTTAAAACATGTATAAATATATTCCTAAAATTTTGAAATGATTGTTGAAGTAGTATTTTTAATATAAATTCCCAAAAATTACCTTTTTTTTAGGCAGTTACACTAGTTGTTCCCCTTAAGTGAAATTTTTAACGTATTTTAAAAATTATGTGCAAAGATTAGTAAAAGATGCAAAGAAATTATATATTGAAAAAAAATATATTGAAAATTTCATATCTTAATTTTGTGTTGACGCCCCCTAAGGCGTGCGCTGATTAATACTTAATTTCATATTTCAAGTGAATTAATTTTTCAAATCCTGTTCATATGTTTCATTCAATCTGCCATCATATAATGTATTTTAAATTATTTTAATTTCTGGCACATCTCAGCTGCTTTTTGGCAATAATAATGTAGACATTACATTTTTCTTATTCATAATCATGAATTTATTACACATATTCTAATATTGTGTAGGCTCATAAGTAAATTGAAATGTTTGGCAGATGACGGTTTTTATTTGTTTTCAATGTCAAACAAACGCCTCAAATATTTTCAAGGTCAAACAATGATAAGCGGTTCTTTGTAATTTTTTCCATTTGTTTCTACAATCTAACTATATTTCTATAATTCAAAAAATTCTAAAAAATTCTCTTGACAAACTTCAGAAAGATTTATCAAAATCCGAATGATCGTTTGGGAGGAGTAGATTTACATACATCATTACAGAAGAATTTTATATATATCTTAAATCAAATCAAAAATCAAAATTATTTTTGCAACAAAAGATTTATTTAATTTATTTAATCGAAATTACAAGTCAGCTATCACAGATGGCGCAATAGTTTACTTTATGACATATGTTAATAATAAATATACGAAACTTTTAATTGAATTGCGGACTATCTAAATGTTAATATTAAGAGCTAAAACTTTCAGAGTATTTTTTTTTTATTACTTTGGAAGCATTTGAGCCCTTGGGAGCAAGGAAATTCGAAAATTACTATATTAAGGACCAGGACCACCTTTATATGCAGATGATTTTATTGTTATTATTTTTTTTATTATTTCAGGTCAAAACACTAATCAAGCCAACAATCGTGTCGGGACAAATGATTCTTATTACAATCAGCAAAATAATTCGTGGCCATCCGGACAAAGGAGCAATATCGATATGCCAAATTTACAAAACCTCGGTATCAATTCTCAAGGACAAAATAGCAGGACAATGCCGCCGGCGCAGAACATGCAAAATCCCATGGGTAAGTAAAAATTATTAAATTTGTCACAAATTCATTTTTATCATAGACATTACACTACATAGACTGATGGTTCTCATATGTCTTACGTTGTGTATAGTGCTCAAACATAGAAAGGACTGTGTTTGAGCGAACATTGCCGACGACAATCGCGGACTCTTCCGATTGATCAAATGTCAAATGTCGTATGTTACGTGGCTAATATAAACTTTATCATATATATATATATATCTATCTATATCTATATATATATATATATAATATATATAACAGGTGTATTCGATTTTATGTACATTAATAATATTATTAATATCATTTTTTACAAAATTATCAGCCATCGCAATAGCCATTATATTATTGAAATAAAACTATCACAGGTCAAGTTTGAATAAAATTAATTATTATGATAAATATTATTACATATTATTAATATAATTTCTTACAAAATTATCAGCCATCACAATTGCCATTATATTGTTAAAATATAACATACGACAAATGATTGTATTTTGATCAATCGGGTGCGTCCGCGATTGTCGTCGGCAACGTTCGCTCAGACATGTGACGCCACAGTCCCTTCTATGTTTGAGCACTTTTTTGCGCTCGCCCAGCACTCCATGTAGTATAAGGTCTATGATTTTTACAAATTCTAATTTTTCAAACTCAAAAATTGTTTTAAAACTTTATTCTTAAAACTGTATTAGTAGTAATAATATTTTTAATCGTCTCGAATTTTGGTGTAACTTAGTGATAAGATAGAGTAGATAGTTGAGTAAATTTCTTAAAATATTATAGGCCTATGGTAAAAGAGTTAGAGAAAAAATAATGCAAATTAGTAATTTTGTTTTCTCGACGTTTCAAGTCATTCTGAATCATTTGGCACCGAAATTGGAAAGTATGTCTGTATTAAAGCCAAAATTTACTCTTAGGATCATTATGGACTGATTTTGTTTTTATTTCGATTGTTAATAGAGTTCCTTTCAAATTTTATTCTATTTTACTCATTGTGTTTTTTTAATCGTTTGCTTTATTTTGTCTTTATTATTATTAACTTCCCGAAGGAGAAGTTTATGTTTTCATCAAAAAATCCGACTCGCTAATTTTATGTTTTCTCGACGTTTCAAGCCATTATGAATCCAGTGAGGTCAAATTTGGAAAAGTATGTGTGTGTGAACAAATTTTTTTACCGTAAACCGACGTTTTCTCAAAAAAAACGGCTGGACCGATTTTAAAAATATAAAAGCCATTATGTATCTCAATGAGGACTATTGTTTGTCAGTTTTGTGCGACGATCGGCCAAGCCTTTTCTTTATTTTAAGCGAAAAGATGTAAAAATGGTCGTCCACGTTTGAACTAAGAATGCATAATTTATTTTAAATAAATCACTTAAATTGTTACAAAAAATAACAAAATTTCAAATGTTATATAAAAATTTTATTCGTTTAAAATTGTTTTGGTAATCAGCAAGAAATGTGTATTAAAATGTTGTCAAAACATCATTAGTCAAATTCTAAATTAGTACGAAGTAATAGTTTTACACGGTCTTTATTTTGACAGCAATATTGCTTCAATGTCTACCAATGTCTATTTATACATTTCTACTGATGATTTTTTTATTTTTCAGCTTCTCGACTAGTTTCTTAATATTATCATTCACTTCATCTATTATCATAATTTTCCAAAACCTTTTTAAGAAATGTTGATCATGATGGTTGTATCAAATTTTTGTTTGTTTTGATCAAAAAATCCGATTCGCTAATTTTATGTCTTCTCGACGTTTTAAGTTATTCTGAATCAAATGAGACTTACAGTTAGGAAAAGTGTGTGTGTGTGTGAATGTGAACAGATTTCTCAAAAACGCCTTATCCTATTTCAAAAATTTGAAACCCAATAGAAGGAGAGTGAAAAAAATTTGGTCCACGTTTTAGCCCGTAATTCTGAATCGATTTTAAAAATTCAGAAACTGTTCAAATGATATTAGTTGGGAATCGACCTGACTAATTTTCAGTAAAGATTCGCTGACACGTTTTCTTGTAATTAACAGTTGATTTTTTTTTCTTTAGACGATTTTGATGTTTTTTTTAATTATAGGTACCATGGTCTTATAAATCATACTACCGGCTTACTATGACAAGTAGGGCCATAATATTTCAGTATATAGTAATAAGTCGTTTAATTTTAAAAATCCGTCGAAGTTTGCCAAAATTAGAATAGTTTTTTTGGCATTTATCAAAATTAGACCTTTCAACCACATTTGCTCAAAAACGCTTGAGCCGATTTCAGAAATTTAAAAGCCATTTGATGTATCTCAATAAGGACTATCGTTTATAAGTTTGGTGCAACGATTTGTCGAGCCGTTTCTTTGTAATTTGAAAAAAGTGTTGAACAATTCGTACACATTTAAGCTCATATTACTGAGCCGTTTTCTTCTAATTAACTGTTCAAAAAAAAAATTAAGCCGATTTTTATGGAACTTTTTTTGGCAATATATATCATGGTTTTATAGAACTTACTGCAATATTACGTCCCTATGACAAGTAGTTTAATTTTAAAGATTAATCAAAGTTTGAGAAAATAAGTAGAGTTTTGACATTTGTTAAAATTAAAATTAGACGATTTACTTGGTATAACGATTGAGTACTTGGTCTTAATGAATATACTAAACCATTAAAATCCTACGGAAATCGGTTCAATTATAAAAATTGTTGATTTGTGAAAACTTGCTTTTAGAAAATACTCCGAGTTAACGCTTTCGTTCGTTTTTAATAATGTGTAATAAATCCATTCGGAATACTTTTAATCACTCATACATTAATATATTTTTTATTGATTAAGTCGATTATTTACACATATCGGAAAGTTCATGCAACTTGCCTTAAGGCAGAAAAAATGCCACTTCCAACTAGTTTATTAACTTCCCGAAGGAGAAGTTTGTTTTCATCAAAAAATCCGATTCTCTAATTTTATGTTTTCTTGACGTTTCAAGCCATTCTGAATCGAATGAGACCAAATTTGGAAAAAGTGTGTGTGTGTGTGTGTGTGTATGTGAACAGATTTTTTGCCGTAAATCGACGTTTTCTCGAAAAGCCATTCGATGTATCTCTACGAGAACTATTGTTTGTCAGTTTTGTGCGACGATCGGCCAAGCCGTTTCTTTATAAATCGCAGAAAAGTGAAAAAAATTGTGTCTACGTTTTAACCCGAAATTCTGAATCGATTTTGAAAATTCAAAAATCGTTCGAAAGATATTGGTTGGGAATCGTGCTGATTAGTTTTTGGTAGAGATCGGCCAGGCCGATTTCTTGTAATAGTTTTTTTTAAAAAAAAAAATTCGACGATTTTTATGATTATTTTTTTGACTGTAGATACCATAGTCTTCTAGATCGTACTAAAATATTACGGCCCTACGACAACTGGTTCAGCTTTAAAAATTCGTCGAAGTTTGCAAAAATTGGTATCGTTTTTTTGGCATTTGTCAAAATTAGACTTTTGATCGACGTTTTCTCAAAAACGCCTGAACCGATTTTAGAAATTTAAAAGCCATTTGTTTCTTTGCAATTTGAAAAAAAAAGTGTTAAACTTTTCGTCCACATTTAAGCTCATCCTACCGAACCGATTTTAAAAAATCAAAAACTGTTCGAAAGATATTAGTTGGGAATGGTACTGATTAGTTTTAGGTGAAAATCTACCGAGCCGTTTTCTTGTAATTAACTGTTGAAAAAAAAATTTAAGCCGATTTTCATTTGCCAACTTTTTTTGGCGATATACATCATGGTCTTATAGAACTTACTGTAATATTACGGTCTTACGACAAGTAGTTTAATTTTAAAAATTCGTCAAACTTTGCTAAAGTTATTATCGTTTTTTTAATGTAGGATTGATGAAGTATATTATTTACACCTATTTTTTTTGATTAAGTCGATTATTTACACATATCGGGAAGTTCATGTATCTTGCCTCAAAGCTAAATACCAAACCAACTAGTTTATTTTTGATGTAAACGTATATAAACGTAGTCGTCCAATTCATAAGCTCGTGTATTTTGTTTATAAAATATGAATATAAACTAAGTATAAAAATAAGTATATAAATAAAAACATATGAACTAAGTATTTATAATAAACTAGTTGGTAAAAATTTAAAATCTCTCGAATATTTTATTACAGTACGGCAAGTTTCAGCAACTTGCCTTAAGGGGGGCGATACATGTAACAAGAAAATAAAAAATCGTTTTTTTTTTTCATAAATCGTTACAATAACATCTCAAAAATATGCCTGTAAATATTCAAAACAAAATTATCATTATTTATACAATAAAAACTCATTTAAGTGCCACGCCTCAACTCGACGCTCGAGTGCTATTGTACTCTTATCTGTTTCTGTGTCAAAACTTTAAACGCGTTTTTCTCAAAACGACATTTTTGAAGTTTGCGGGCGCGATAACTCAAAAAGTTCTCAACCGATTCCAATGAAATTTTGCGCACATCTACTTTACAGTAATAGCTTCTAGTTAAACCTCAAACATTCCAAAAAATGTTTCAAAAATTAACCCTTTTACCAAAAAAACCATTGAAAAAAAGGTGAAAAATCGAACTTTTTTTTTCTAAGGTGTGCCAATTTACGATTTTTTGACTTTTTTAATTTTTTTTTGGTTTAACTAGAAGATATATGTTTTATGAACACGTACAAACTAATTTTTTTAAATTCAGATCACCGTACGAAAAGTGAGAACGCCCGCAAATTGATGGCGTTTTCCGAGAGGGTCTTGGCAGATTTATTTTTACGGCAGCCATTTAAAAAAAAAAAATTAAAAAAAAATTTTCTTTGTGTATTTTAATATATAATAAATAACCCTAAAAAAGTTCAAAAAGATTCAATCATTCCTTCCCAGTTTAAAAAGTCCTCAAAAAATGGTAAAAATTAAGGCGATTACATGTATCGCCCCCCTTAAGGCACGATGCCATACACCACTAGTTAATATTGTTTCCACACTTTCACTGTGTCTGTTTCCAATTGATATTTTATTCTATCACTCCTATTCACTGTATCTATTTCCAATTGACATTTTATTCTATCATCTTACCCTAATACCTGAAGTGATGAACTTTACCGAGTTGATCAGTATTGCCTTGATGCTTCTAGGAATGGGGACAATGAATGTTAATGCATTACCATTAAATCCTGCAGTAGTAGCGGCCGCCCTCAATCAGGCCGGCTGGGGCCTCATAGGCAACATGCAGCAGCAGCAGAGCCGACAGGAGCCGAGCGGATACCCGAGCAGCTCCGTCGGATCGAACACCATGACGACGCCGCAGCAGCAGCAGCAGTCGGGGAATTACAACTGGATGGCGCAGGCATCGAACACCGATCATGTAAGGGATAGAAGGATAGTAATAGATTAATAAGATAAATGTTATGGCAAGGCCATGTTACGCTCCGACTTCTATAGGTTAAGCTACTGAATCGTACTGAATACTGTCGAAATGTCATGTATTTGCTGGGCAATCAGGCGTTTTACACATAAACTAAAACGTCACTCGTATGTTATGAACATGAGTCAGAAACACACTGTTATCTAACATCGTTTGCTCGACATTTGTGCGGTTTCTGGGTTAGATTTTCTATTTGACAGCCTGAAAAATACCACAACGGCTTTCTTTCAATATTTAGTATGGGAAGTTCTTCATAACATGGTTTTGCCATAACATTGGTCTGTTGTGCGGCAGAATCGGTTTCTAAGTAATATAATACTCTACTGTAGATGTATAATATGTAGAATTTGTAGATATGGGTAACTCACTCCAGAGTTATCATTCCGATACAACTCCTCCCTCAGAGTGAATCCGAGTGGAGTTGTTTCACAGGATTTGTCATATCCGACTTCCCTAATTTTTTTTTTTTTTTTATAATTTTATTTGAACAGCGATCAGAAGCTGTTGAGATTAATATGTTACAAACTACGTTTGTTTTATTACAGATGGCAACCCAAACAGTTGTCACATCTCTGTATGGTAAATTTTTATTACAATATCTGTAATAGGGCAAGTATGGTGCAATAATGCCGGGTGAAGTGAGGATTTTCACTTGGAAACATATTGCTATCTATATTTCCAAGTGAAAATCGTTGTCAATGTTGCCTGACAACAAGCTGCTCGTAGTGGGTATCGAACCCGGGACCTCTGAAACAAGTCCCGTCGCTCTTAACTGCTGACCTACGGGCGAGCCCCCCCCTAAAATGGTACTAAATCTGTTAACACGTACAGACATTTGATTAATATTTTTACTAGATTTTTGTAGAAAAAAAGCGTTAATTTCGTATTTTATATTCTGTATACGATAATCCTTGTCTGTAAATGATCTCTTTCAATGGTATACAACCAGCAAACAAATATTTAGTATTATATTATTACTTTTACACAATTATGATTTTATATTTAATTCACAATTAATTCTCGAAAAGGAAATAATAGGAGAATGTGAGGTATTTCATGAAAAATATTAAACATAAACAGTTTAAAATAATTACTATTTTTATGCATTTCAATATGCATACAAATCTTAAATTGACAAAAAACTTGGACATCAATTTTGTAATTAGTTCTGAAGAGAAAATACAGAATTATTTGAATATGTTTAATTTTATATGAAAATAATGCAGTGAACCTTATGTATAATATATATAACGTATAATATATAATACTTTGCGTATAATATTTTCACAAAATAATAATATCTCACATTCTTTTATTATTTTCCTTTCGAGAATTAATTATACATTAGGTAGTTCGATTAGCATACTATTACTTTTACACAATTATAAAATCATAATTGTGTAAAAGTTATAATATAATACTAAATATTTTTTAGCTGGTTGTATGCCATTGAAAGAGCACATTTACCGCCAAACATTATCGTGTACAAAATATAGAATACAAAATAGCATTATTTTGAGACATTATATACCTGGAAAGTCATAAAACTGAATGAGAGACGAGAAAAAGACCTTTTCTTTCAACCCAAATCTTTGTATTAGTAAAAAATCTCAAGCAAATATCTGCACACGTTAACAGATTTAGTATCAGTTTATGGAAGTCGGTTTATATGACAAATCCGGTGAGGCAACTCCACTCGGATTCACTCCGAGGAAGGAGTTGTATCGGAGTCATAACTCCGGAGTGAGTTACCCATCTCCAATACATACATTAATAAGGATTTTTCTTGTTTCATACAAAGTTTACAGCATTATTTTTATATAAATGTTATTCAAAGAATTCTATTTTTTCTCTTCAAAAATAATCATAAAATTAATTTTGATTCTCAAGTTTTCCGTTTTTTTCGGTCAAAAATGCAATAAATATAAGCCAATGATTCGATCGCCTCTCTACTGACTCTGACCAAAGGGACTCTACTGACGAGCAAACTAGATTTCTTAGGGATTAGTAAAAACTGACGTGCAAGCTAGGTTTAATAAAATTTATAATTAGGAAAGGGAATCTACTAACGAGCAATCGAGATTTTTTAGAGATCAGTAAAAAGATGAAAGGGGCTCTACTGACGAGCAAACTAGTTTTATTAATATTTATATTTAGGAAAGAGAAAGCAACTGACGACCAAACGTGATTTAATAAAATTTATATATCCGAAAGGGACTCTACTGACCAGCCAGCGGGATTTAATAGAGTTTATAATTAGGAAAGGGACTCTACTGACAATCAAACGGGATTTAATAAAATGTATAGTTAGGTAAAGGACGAGCAAATGGGATTCAATAAAATTTATATTTAGAAAGCGACTCTACTGACGAGTAACCAGGATTTAATAAAATTTATATATCGGAAAGAGACTCTACTGACAAGCAAACGGGATTCAATAAAAATTATATATAGGAGAGGGACTCTACTGATGAGCAAACTGAAATTAAAGACAAGAAATGGAGAAAGGACTTTATTAACGAGCAAACTGCAATATTAAAGGCAAGAAATGGAGAAAGGACTCTACGGACGAGCAAACTGGTATTAAAGATGTAGTTTTTTTTTATTTCTCGTCAGTAGAGTTTCTTTTTCAAAAAGTGTTTGAATAAAGAATATCAATATTTACTCGTCAGAAGAGTTTTTTTTCCTAAAAATATTAGAATTTGCTAGTGAGTAATGTTCCTTTTTCTCTAAAAATGTTTCAATTTGTCAGTGGAGTTCCTTTTTTTTTCTAAAATTGTTACAATTTGCTCATCAGTAGAGTTCCTTTTTTCTTTAAAATTGTTACAATTTTCTTTTGAGTAGAGTTTCTTTTTTCTATAAAAATATTACAATTTGCTCGTCAGTAGAGTTCCATTTTTCTCAAAAAATTTGACAATTTTCTTTTCAGTAGAGTTTCTTTTTTCTTTAAAAATGTTACTATTTGCTCATCAGTAGAGTTTTTTTTTTAAAAAAAAGATGACAAAATTTTCTTGTCAGCAGTATTCCTTTGTTAAAAAATTAACAAGGAGTGTGAAAAGTTTTGTGTATAAATATAACTACTTACTACAATTTAATCATAATTAAATAATATTCACGCAAAACATCCTATTAAACGTAATTGAACATCATCTATCAAAAACATTTGATATTTGACGTATTAGCCACCGTTCATTGTTTTATTCAAATTACGCTTCTACAAAAAATTTCAAATTAATAATGTAAAGTATCTACGCGATTTTGAAATAATATCTCACCTTTCCGACATTCCGACTGATTAGCACGAATTTTTTAAGATTAAGACTGGCCAAATCAGTTTAGCCGTTTAGGAGTTTTAGCGGATCATTTCGAGCTCCGATCGAGAGCTCTATTTTTATATATAAGATATATATAATTATATATATATATATATATATATTGATTTATCTATTTTTTTATCAGATGAACCAGCAACGTGGTAACCAGACGTGGGCTGGACAAGGCATACCCACACACATGTCTCACGACATAAAAACGAGCGCCTACAAATATGAGAACTGAAAAAAAAAAGTTTTGAAAATGTCGTCGTATGTTTATTAAAAAAGAAGGTGCATGATTATGATGATGATGATATAATTGTATTATATTTTTAATGATGGATCATATTCTAAACGAAATGTGAATATGTATTATATTCAAGTCCGTGTGTGTAGTCGGTTTGTTAATTTTCGGTTTGTACAAAAAGGTAAAAATGCTTGATGGTTTTGAATGTATAAATATTATTATTATTTGCTTTACATTTACAATTTGTGTCTGAATATACAATGTGGGTGGTCTTGGTCTTGTAACTTTTGATGATTGCTCAATTGTTTAATGTGTTTTATAGAAAATTATATAATTTTATTAATATTTACATAAATATATATATATATATAAATAAATATACCTGTGGTGCTCTAATGTTATTGCAAGTTGATGTAGCGTTTTCTGGTTTGGATGTGGTTATAAAAATATTCTTTATTTTGTAAATTATGTGTTGTAAAAAAATAAATTATTTACATTGAATTTGGACGGATTTTGTTTGTGGGAATACATTTTCAGACGTTTCAGGTCATTCTGAATCTTATGACTGTATGATTTAAATTGACAAATTATTAACTTCCCGTAGGGTAAATTGTAGTAATCGTCTAAAAATCGAAAGTTTACGTTTCAGAGGTTTCTGAACATTTTGGCATACCTTAGAAAAAATTCATGTCTGTGTGTATGTATGTGTGTAGTATGTATGTATGTATGTGCGGATTTGAATTATTCTTATCAATTATGATTAATTATTTATTATTATTGTGCTGATTAGTTTTTAGCAGAGACAGGTCCAGCCGTTTAGGAAATACGGAGCAAAGAGTGCATCTTTATTTTGTAAATTATGTGTTGTAAAAAAATAAATTATTTACATTGAATTTGGACGGATTTTGTTTGTGGGAATACATTTTTTCGGCAGGTCATTCTGAATCTTATGACTGTATAAATTGCATTGATAAAATTATTAACTTCATGTAGAGTAAATTGTAGTAATCGTCTAAAAATCGAAAGTTTACGTTTCAGAGGTTTCTGAACATTTTGGCATACTTTAGAAAAAATTCATGTGTGTGTGTGTATGTATGTATATGTGTAATATGTATGTATGTATGTGCGGATTTCAATGATTCTTGTCAATGATTCTTTGAATCGATTCTTATCAATTATGGTTAATTATTTATTATTATTGTGCTGATTAGTTTTTGGCAGAGACAGGTCCAGCCGTTTCGGAGTTACGGAGCAAAGAGTGCAGAAAATGGAAAGTGTGTTTTTAAAATCCGATTTGAGTGATTCAAGTTCAATTTTATTTGTATTGAAATAATGACGAATTGATGATTTTTAGGCAAATCTTTACGTTCCAGAGGTTTCTGAACATTTTGGCATACCTTAGAAAAAATTTATGTGTGTAGTATGTATGTATGTATGTGCGGAGTTTATGAGACAACGGAGCCTCCGATTTGAATGATTCAAAAAAAACATTCCACTTGTATTGATTTCATAAAAAAATTCAAGTTTTCAAAGAATATCGTTATTTTCAAACACGGCAATTTTTAATATTCAATTTTTTTAAATGTTTTCAAAAGTATCAGTCTTTACAATGCAATTTTTTTTAAAAAAAAATTAAGTTTCAAATTTTTCAAGTGTTTTCAAAAAAAAATCTGTGTTTTGAAGAACGGTAATTTTTTCAATATCCTATAAAAAATTCAAGTTTTTAAGAATATTTGTTATGATTTGTTATTTATTATTATTGTGCTGATTAGTTTTTACTAGAGACAGGTCTAGCCGTTACGGAGATAAAGAGCAAAGAGTGCCGAAAATGCCAATCAAGTTTTTGAGACAAAGAAGAATCCGATTTGAGTGATTCAAGTTCAATTTTATTTGTATTGAAGTAATGACGAATTGATGATTTTTACAAAGGCAGGTGCAACGGTTTCGGAGATCTGTCAATGATTCTTTAAATTGGTTCTTATCAATTATAATTAGCTATTATTATTGTGCTGATTAGTTTTTAGCAAAGACAGGTCCAGCCGTTTAGGAGTTACGTAGCAAAGAGTGCAGAAATGGATATCGAGTTTATGAGAAAACTAAGTATCCGATTTGAATGATTCAAAAAACAATTTATTTATATTGAAGTAATGACGAATTGATGAGATTTTTACCAAGGCAGGTCCAGCGGTTTTGGAGACTCCGAAAATAAAGTTGAAGAATTATATTTAGGGTTGAAAATGAGATATTTTGGACAGTCTGGATCCAATCGACGTGAATGGGTATCAGAAACATTCAAGAAATTTCAAAATTAAAGAAAAAAACTAGCTGTAAGTGGAATTCTGTCTTAAGGCAATTAAGGCATCGTGCCTTGAGGCAAATTGCTGGAACTTCCCGTACCAAAAATTATTATTTTTTTAAAAACGATTAACATTTTTGAAAAAATTTTACTTCGAAAAAATAAGATTTTTTAGATATTTTAAATTGGACAAAAAATTACTTTTTTTGAAAATAAAATTTTTGTTAAAAAAAAAATTTTTAAACAATTTTTTTATAAAAATTTTTTTTGGAAAAAATGTTATCTTCATTTTGATATATTTTGGAAGATCTGAACTTTTTTTCAAAGCAATCGTACTGCTTTAACTGCATAGAGACAAAATATAAAGCGCGTAAGCGCCGCGTCGCTGTCTAACGGAAAAAACAATAGTACGGAACCCATAGGGATGTAAACAAAACTTATACTTATTGTAAAAATCTCAATAAAATATCTGATAATTTGATATGCATATGTCTAATGTCTAATGATTATTGTTGACCGCCAAATGTTATTTTTTTTTAGTTTTTTTACTAGATCTCCGAAACCGCTAGTCCTATCTTCATGAAAATTTGATCAAATCTTCATCTTGTTAATACAAGTAAAATGTTTTTTGAACTATACAAATCGGACGCTCCGTTCTCTTAAAAACTAAGTTACCGTTTTTGGCCCTTTTTGCCCCATATCTTCGGAACGGCTAGAATGTTTTTTGAATTATTCAAATTGCTTTATCCGTGTTCCCGAAATCGTCGACGAAAATTTGTATCCGAACACACACACATGCACGCACACACACCACACATACACACACACATACATCAAATTTCTCCAAGGTATGCCAACATATTCAGAAACCTCTGAAACGTGAAGATATATAAAAATTTTCATTTTCGATTTTTTTGCGATTACTTACCCTATGGAAAGTTAATTATAAATAAATCAATTTATGATCTCCAGAACATTAACAATCGTCATTTCATTTCGAATCAAATTCCAAAAAAAAATAGTTGCCAAATTTACACAAAATTGAAAAAGTGCTCCCGCATAGTCACAGTCTGAACGCATTTGCATATAATTCTGTGCGACATTTTCACTTATACTGTGCTCAGTTTGGCGGCATTTTCACATTTTTCAATAATTTTCACAAAATTGGAAAAGTGCTCCAGTACACAAACAGTCTAAACGCACTTGCGTAAACATTTCTACCAGAGTGGCGCTTAGACTGTGCTTAGCTTGGGTGATTTTTTGAATTTTTAGTCCAAAATTACAAAAAAATTTTTTTGAAAAAAAATTAGAAACAAAAAATTTTTTTTTCCAAAATCAATTGTTTTGTTGAAAAAAGCAGAAAGTTCTTTGAATCATTTAAATCGGACGCTTAGTTCTCTCAAAAACAGCCATTTTTTTTAAATTTTGCTCTGTAACTCCAAAACCTCTGGGCCTACCTTTGCCAAAAACTAATCAGCACATCTCCCTATCAATAGGAATCGAATGTTTTTTAAACCATTCAAATCGGTTGATCCGTTCTCTCAAAAATTCGCTTTCTATTTTTTGCACTCTTTGCTCCATATCTCCGTAACGGCTGGACCTGCCTTTGCCAAAAACTAATCAGCACATCTCCCTATCAATAGGAATCGAATGTTTTTTAAACCATTCAAGTCGGTTGATCCGTGCGCCCGAAAACGTGGACGAAAAAACGCGGACATACAAAACACACACACACACACACACACACATCCATTTTTTCTGAGGTATGCCAAAATGTTCAGAAACCTTCAAAACGTCGAGAAATGTAAAAATTTTTGATTTCGATTTTTGGACGATTACTATAACTTACCCTACGGGAAGTTAAAAAGACGGAAATTTCAGTAAGCAATTTTTTTTTTAAATTAATATTCAAATGTTTAAAATATTTTCAAAATACTTTCAATTTTTTTAAAAATGTCAGTGTTTTCAAAAAATGCTTTAAAATAATATCAGTATTTTTAAAAAATGCTATTTTTTCATTATGCAAATTTGTTAAAAACAAAACTTATACAAGTTTCAACAAAAGCAATTTTTTCAAATGTTTTCGCAAAAATTCAAGTTTCAGAAATTATCAGAATTTTTAAAAACGCATTTTTTTCAATATTCAAATTTTTTAAATAATTTCAAAATATTTTTAAGTTTTCAAAAAATATCAGTATTTTCAACAAATGTAATTTTTCAATATTCAAATGTTTTCATTAAATTTTCAAGTTTTTAAAAAATATCATTATTTTCAAAAAATGCAATTTCTTTTCAATTTATTCAAATTCAAGTTTTTCAAATGTTTTTAAAGAAAAAATCCAAGTTTTAAAAGAATATCAATATTTTAAATAAATGCATTTTTTACGATTTTTTCAATATTCAAACAACAATTAAATGTTTAAAAAATCTTTTTTTTTTTTAAATGCAATTTTTTCATTTTCAAAAATTTCAAGTTTTCAAAATATCAATATTTCAGGAAAGGCGATTTTTTTTCAATATTCAATTTTCAAAAAAAAAATCAAGTTTTCAAGAGTACCAGTTTTTTTAAAAAAAAGATTTTTTTTCGATATTCAAAATTTTCAAAACATTTTTAAAAAAACTGAAGTTTTCAAAAAGTATTAGAATTTTCAAAAACTAACTTTTTCAATATTTATATATTTTTAAAAAAAAAAAAATAGTTTTCCAAAAATATTAGTATTTTCAAAACAGGTATTTTGTTCAATATTTAAATTTTTCAAAGAAAATTCGAGTTTTCAAAAGATATCTTTATTTTCAAATAATGCAATTTTTTCAGTTTTTTCAATATTCAAATTTTTCAAATATTTTCAATTTAAATTCAAGTTTTCAAAGAATATGAGTGTTTTCAAAAAAAAAGCAAGAGTTCAATATTCATTTTTTTTTTAAGTTTTCAAAAAATATCAGTATTTTTAAATAAGATAAGACATTTTTTTCAATATTTAAATTATTCAGTTGTTTTAAAAAATTATCAGTATTTACAGAAAAGGGCAATTTTTTCATTATACAAATTTTACAAAAATATAATAAAAATTCTCAAAAAAAACTAATATACCATTTCTCAGTTTTAAAAATTTTAAAGTACGGTACGGGAAGTTCCAGCAATTTGCCTAAAGGCACGATGCCATGACCACTAGTTTACTTCAACTTTAAGGTTTGTATAACATTTATTACTATATTTCTTCTAAAAATAATTTAAACTAATAATTTATAATTAAACATTTTTATTCATATAAATAAACAAACAAACAAACATTCTATTCCTATTTATTTCTTCAAGAGTCTCTGATTCAACGGATTCTCAGGCGATTTCATCCATTCTTTTCTCAAAATCTGTTTCAGTTGTGACAGTCGTAACGTAGGATTCTCCTGTTTTATCCTTGGCATATTGGCTTCTTCGAAAGCGGTAAAAGCAGCCTTGAGCCTCTTCTCGGGATGCTTATCGATCTCAGGATCTTTGGAGGAAAGGACTTATATGGCATCGTCTACAGTCCTCGCTACTTCACCATCGATTTGGAGTCTGTTCAAGTTCTCTTCTAAAGGAGGGGTAATGGATACAGGTTTGTTTATATTCTTTATCGCGGCTTCGCGTTTTTCGTTCTCAGCCATGATTTGAGCCCGAGTGATTTTTGCCAGGGGTTGCTTGGGGGCTACTTTGATAGAACTCATTTCTTGTTCGAGTAAAGCTTTAGCCTCTGCTTTTTTCTCGAGCAGTTGTTGTTTTTTACGTTCCTGTTCATCTTTGCGTTGTTGTTTTTTTACAATTTGCTTGTCGTTGTCTTCCCATTCTTTGTCTTCGGCAGCTTTTTGTTTTTTTGCATTTTCAGCCTCTTTGGCTGCAGCTTTTCGAGCTCGGGCTTCGACGGCTTTATTGTTTTCGCCTGCAAACTTTTTTGGCATAATAGATAAATGATTGTATAATTTATTGTATAAGTAAATTTATTGTATAGGTATTATTTTATTAGTATTTAAGTTGATTTTTTACATATAACCTATATGTTTTGATCTTGCTGTCAGAATTGCTTTTTGACAGTAGTGAAGTGGTGCGCGCCAAATTTGAATTTGAAATTGAACCGTAGTTTAAAAGTGATATTTTGCCTTAGATTTAGATATTTAGATTTCAATTAAATCATTTTTTGGCATAATAGATAAATGATAGTTTGAATATAATAAGTAACAATTGTATTATTATTATTTGAGTCTATTTTGTACAAATAACCTATAAGTTTGTATCTTGCTGTCAGAATTGCTTTTTGACAGTAGTGAAGTGGGCGCGCCAAATTTGAATTTGAAATTGAACTAGTTTTAAAGATAAATGATTGTATAATTTATTATATAAGTAAATTATTGTATAAGTATTATTTTATTAGTATTCAAGTCGATTTTTACATATAACCTATAGTTTTGATCTAGCTGTCAGAATTGTTAGATGCGTTTTGACAGTAGTGAAGTGGAAACTAAGTCGTGCGCGCCAAATTTGAATTTGAAATTGAACTAGTTTAAAAAGATAAATGATTGTATAATTTATTATATAAGTAAATTTATTGTATAAGTATTATTTTATTAGTATTTAAGTCGATTTTTTACATATAACCTATAAGTTTATAATCTTGCTGTCAGAATTGCTTTTTGACAGTAGTGAAGTGGAATACTCTTCTTTTGTCTATGAGTGGAACTAAAACGTGCGCGCCAAATTTGAATTTGAAATTGAATTGAATTGATTAGTTTAAAAGTAATATTTTGCCTTAGATTTAGATATTTAGATAAAATTAGCCAAATGTTTCTTACGAAAATAAAGTTAAACTAGTGGCGTGTATGGCATCGTGCCTTAAGGCAAATTGCTGGAACTTCCCGTACCGTAACAAAATGTTCGAGAAATAGTTAATGTTCTTCAAATAGATTATTATAAATATTTTGTAACATTGTCTGATATTTATAAGACTTATATAAACTGAATTGCAAAGTTAAACAAATTTGTTTAAAGTAATTAGAACTTTAGTCAGAATTACGATTAAAATCTGAATTATTTTCGATACACAAAAAAAATTTTTTCAAAATCAATTATTTTGTGTGAAACAAGCAGAAAGTTCTGTGAATCATTTAAATCGGACGCTTAGTTCTCTCAAAAACTGCCATTTTTAACATTTAGCTCTGTATCTCCGAAACCGCTGGGCCTACATTTGCCAAAAACTAATAACCACTTTCTCCCGTCATTACGAACTGAATGTTTTTTGGATCATACAAATCAGATGATGCGTTCTCTCAAAAACTCGATTTCTATTTCTGCACTCTTTGCTCCATATCTCCGTAACGGCTGGACCTTCCTTTGCCAAAAACTAATCAGCACATCTCCCTATCAATAGGAATCTAATGTTTTTTAAACTATTCAAATCGGTTGATCCGTGCGCCCGAAAACGTGGACGAAAAAATGCGGACATACAAAACACACACACTCACATCCATGTTTTCTGAGGTATGCCAAAATGTTCAGAAACCTTCAAAACGTCGAGAAATGCAAAAAATTTTATTTTCATTTTCGGCTCATTACTATAACTAACCCTACGGAAAGTTAATAATAATAACTTTGTAATTCAGTTTATATTATTCGTCTAAT